AGTATTGTCCGTGCGGCCACGAAAACCACCGCGCACCAGATTTCAGAGGTTTGCAGCGGAATGACAATGTTTTGCCCTTACCCCGCTGTTGTTTGGGCGCCGGTGCTGAGGCTTCTTGAAGTTGATTTTCTCCGTAGCCTTCAGACGTTTGGCCTCATCTCGCATCTGATCTTCGAATTTACTGGCAAATAGATCCGGGCCCGTCAAGGGGAGATCTTCAAGTCTTTTGCGAGCACCCTGCGACGGAGGAAAAGTGCATCGAGCACGTTACCCCGCGGGTGGACGTTGATAGGGTCGACACACGTGCGAATTGATCAAGCACTGAGCGTAGACCCATGGTCGAGGCAATGAAGGGCCGCAGTCAGCAATATCTGCTGGAATCGGCGAATACCTCTTCATAGCCCACGGCCAAATATTCCGTGAGAAGAAGTAAGAAAGACGCTGATTTCAAACCGAAGCGTGAAGCTGCGTCCATCTTCTTCAAAACATCTTCAAGTTTACCCCGTGTTTTGTCCACAAAGGGCCGCTTGGAAGACGAACCACTCTCATCGGCCGCAAGTCTATCTTTTGCGGCGTCGGGGATGGTAGGCGGAGTGAAGAACTTCACATGATCTTCAGCCGGGAAACGAAAATAATCCGTTCCCGACTGAGAAACGGCCGCCATTTATCAGTTGACATGATGCTGTCGATACGTTCCACGCATACTTGATCTAAAGGAAGTACGGGGAATATCTTATCGCTGCTAGATGTGGAGCCCGTCCTTCGCTTGAAGATTTATGATCAGGCGGAGGGGGCTCATCAGCGGAGGGTAAATGAAAGTACTTTTATCATATCCCTCTGTACTAAACGGAGCTCCGTTTCAGAGATAGACAGCCGCTGTAAACGGTCTGGTTCCTCGTCGTCATCGATGACTCAGCCGATTGTGAGGGCCGAGTTGACTCCGTGAACGAACGCCGTCTGGAGGGGCGAGTTGTACCAAACCACGCGGTAGTGGCTGGACAACTTCCTCCGAGTCAAACTGCATAGAATGGATGAATGCTCAATACAGGCGGGGATCCCAGCGTACGCGGTAGGTCCCGCGGCCTCTGATCCACCCAACCGTGGCCCACGGCCGATGCATGCGAGACGCTCGCTGCAGGCCGGGCCTCCGGTGTACGGTCAACCACGTGCGGTATGTCCCGCTGTGCTTGGGCCACCCAACTGTGACCAACGCACGACGACAGTGAAGCCTCACCGCAGGCGGGGACGCCGGAGCACGACTAATTGTGTGCGGTATGTCCCTCTGTTCCCGGGCCACCCCCAAGCGTGACCGGTGACTGAAGACTGTGATGCAGGCCCAACGACCGATGGCTGTGGGCCGTAGTCCACCGCTGCAGGGGGCCCCCAATAGGGCCCCCCGGCGGCCTGCCGACATAGCCGATAGCGTATCGGAAATTGACTGAAAAGCCAGCAGGAAATCTGCTCTAGAAACCCGCGTCCTCCCCCCGGGAGCGTTTGCCCCAGCGGGAACCGGTCAGAGGAGTCGTCAGAACCCAAAGAAGAACGGTGCGATCGACGTGCAGCCTTCTTCTTCTTATTCTTCTTTTTAGAAGAACGGCCCCGAGGTGTGTCCGAGGAAAAATCGGAAGACACCTGGGGCACCGGGACCCCAACAACGAAAAAATCCGATGACGAGAGTAGTCCTCTGAGCGAGCTAGCACGGGGGCGTCGGCCCGGGATCCCCCGGGGCGCCTGCTCTGTATCGCTCATAATGCACCCGGCCGACAGCGCCTCAGACCCTGAACAGCCCTTCTTAGGCTTTGCTCCGCACAGGAGATATGTTTTAGGGGAACCTTGCCGGAGTGTGCCTTTAGTTTGGGTGTTCCGCCCGAGTTGACCGGAGAAGGTGACCGAGGTCCCCTTAACTGACCGGCGGAACTGCCAACTCCCCCAGCCGACTGTGGCTGAGGGTGCCAGACGAGAGACTGCTGCCGCGGTAACGTCGGAGCGTTAACGGCAGAGTCCCCCGAGAACTCGGTCTGTCCCGTGGGAGAATTATTCCCTCCGGTTAGTGACAGATCGGCCCTCCCCAAACGCTTTATATTTATGAAATAAATGAAACCAAGAAGATGATGAAACTCTACAAACTAATGATTACTAACTCTTTTATTAAATACTTCTCTTAAACGCAAAAAAGGGTAGTAAATGACGAGGCAAACAGCGAGCTATTTCACGCACGTCCTACCCGACCTGCCGCTAAGAGAAAAGAGGACGCTCACGAGGCACGCATGCTGCGGGGTATTATGGGTAGGGCGCCAGAGGGCGCTATTGTATATAACTCTTAGCGGAAAATACCTGCCGGTAGGGGGAATATACATAAGTAGTATTGCTCTACAGGTAAGTAGAGTGAAGTAGACATGCACCACTAGGGATGAGGGTCGATATATATTGAAAGTTACAAGTTCATATCATGACCCGTCTAGGAAAAAGTCGCGGAGAAGTTTTGTTTTGTTGCCACGGCTCAATTCTGATGCCCAAATCAGGTGGATCCACCGGATGTACTCCTTCTTTAGCAGCTCTTTCTGGATGTCATCCTCCTGTCTTGCATTTCCCTCCAGGCCCAGATAGCGGTAGGTCGCATCTAGATCGAAACTCCTGATGACTTCTCTGTTACTAGGATTTTGGGAAGTACTTTGCTTGCCATGCTTGATGATTAGTTTAGCACACTTCTCTATTCCAAATTTCATTTCAATGTCGGTAGAAAAGTTTGACACAAAATCAAGCAAATCGGATAACTTTCTGGCATTCTTTGAGTAGATCTTTAGGTCATCCATGTGTAGTACATGACTGACAGTACACTGTGGCATATCTGTTCCTGGGCCAACACTGTACCCAGCCTGCAACCATTGTAGGTCTTTGCTGAGTGGGTTGGGGGCAATGCAAAACAGAGGGGAAGACAATGAGTCCCCTTGGAGGATCCTCATCTGATCTGAATTTCTCTTGTGTAGACCTCTGCATCTTTCCTTTGATGTACATCTGGGTATGGCATTTTGACAGAGCAGTGGTGAGAATGGTCACAACCTGGTTGTTGATTTTATAGAGCCTCAGGGAACTGGCTTTCCAGCTGCGAGGAACACAGTCATATGCCCTCTGATTGTTGATCCATGCTACTGAGAGATTGGCATCCTGCATAAACATTCTATCAATCAACAGCTGCTCTTATTGTTATTATTGTTATTATTGTAACAATTACGGGAAATGGGTAATTTGGGAGACATTCCCATAGACTTGTGCACTTCTAACTTCAATGCGCCCTAACCCAATATTCCCTTGTCCTTTTTCCACGAATTTCTGTACGTTTACTAATTAGACCACGAACAACAAATAAAATCTAATTGCGACAGCAAAAGTTTGCCTCTGAAGGGGGGCTGTGACATTAGGGAGACATGAAAATGTCTCCCTAATGACCAATGTCTCCCATCGTGCAAAGAAATTACGATAACGTGTCTCCTTAATGGTACCTTAACACGTATAACTGTTTTTATTGTTAAATAATATAATGTAAAATACACAACAAATTTCATGACGATCGGACCTTCCCTTTACATGTTTTTGTTTTTGTTTTTAATAAAACTGCATTTTCGATGATGCCAAGATGATGTCACACATTTTTCCAAATTGTGTGCACAAACATGTATTCATGACCAACTAAACCTATTACAAAAATAGTTTAGAAGTTAGAATTTTGTGAGATATGCTTTACCTCAACACTGTACATAAAATCATATGATGACATCATCGTGATGTCCAGTGTTGTAGTCGAGGCCACACCCTCCGAGGCCTCGCGGAGGAGCTGTCCGGCGAATTTTATTTTTTAAAGAAAAAAATCTCAAGTTTTTATCACTGAAAGCAAATTACACAACAAAATCAATGGCGTTTGAATCAGGTTCATAGATGTTTGCCCTTTGGAGATACAACAATTTAAATGGCCAAATTTTTGAGTTTCTATTCTGTAAGATTTACATCATTTACTTTAGCATTGTTATAAATCTTATTTTCAAACCTATCAAAATGCTTAATATCATAGGAATCCCCATTAAATGAACAACAACTTGATTTTTGAATCAGGTTTTTACCACTCATAACCAAAAAGTTACGACCCCCCCCCCCCCGACCTCGCACTGTCCAGGCGCCGCGCGAGCAAACACACGCGATGCGACCAGACAATGCCAGACGGCCCGCCGTTACGCACGGGCAAAGCATAGTTCCAATCCCGCTCCACACAACGGGATAAGTGTCCACGCATTATCACTGTTAATACCGCGGTACCAGACAAAGTCTGGCAATGGCCAATCCCGCTCCAAACAACACGGCAACACGGAACATGCGTGCATGATATCACTCAGTTCATCAAAATGACCATGAATTCTCGGATCATCCGATTTGAATCCAATGGCTTCGAAGAATTTTAAGATCATGGCAAGAGGTAGGGAGTCCAGAGGTTTGGGCCGTATATCCGTAACCACGCAAAATTAGTCAAATTCAAACCGTGCTTATACATGTAATAAGTATCAACATGGCTCTAAAAATACAAAAAGTATCCTGGTACCACGAGGAATACTGACTCCTATTATTAAAACATTCATTCAGAACTTTGCATTCATTTGGATGGAAAAACAAATTCTGAAATCGCGCTTTCCAAAATATACATCTGAAGCTGAGCTGAAACTTCATCAGGTTAGTTGTTCAACACCCTTCTTTAGATGTTTAACACTTTTGTTGCTTCAAACAAACAAATGCACGAATTACAAATGATGGACTATACCTTTAAATGAAATTCTATGAAGTTTCTCAGGGACAGGCGCAGTTCTAGAGCCAATATTTTGGGGGCTAGCAAGGTGGATCCAGATTTTTTTCAGGGAGGCGTGCTGAAATGTAGACAGGTTATTTTCTCCGGACACTTAGACCTCTGAAAATCAATACGTGGTGGGGGTGCCATATTTGATAAAATCTTACAATCAGGCACACTATATTAACTAAATATGTACAAATGCACCCTTCTCATTTAGGGGGAGAACGTTCCCATGTACGTCAAATTCTTACATTTTGCTAGTGCATTTTTTTTTAATGAAATTTTGTTTTTTTTTTGGGGGGGGGAGGGCTAGACAAAATGTTGGGGGGCTAAAGCCCCCCCCCCCTAAGAATCGCCACTGCTCAGGGATGGTAATTCCTTCAGTCTTCCAATTTGACACAAGAATAATGGGCACAACAAAAGGCATCACAATGGTGCACTGAACACGCAACACGTATAGAGCATGCATGCGAAAAGGAAGTATAGTAAACCAGATTGCGAACTGGAAAACTGCCATAGCACATAACATCACTATTGTCATGAAGAGCCACACAAGAAAAAATGTTTGAGAAAATCGCAAAGAGAAGTTCCTCCTTTTTTAAAACTGCACAAACCACTACTTTGCAACACCTTTATGCAGTAAGAAAACATTCACATGATTCTTTGAAAGGTAAACTTATATGTAAACCCAGAAATTAGAATCAGCACAATGGTTAATTAGCCAAGATTAATTAGTAAAGATGTATGTCCCTTCATGAAAACGAAAATCCATGTTTCCCATATTAAGACATTTTTTTTTTCCATACAGAAGGAGCACATGCGCAGCTGAGAATGTAATAAAGATGTGTGGCTCTTCATGAAAACGAAAATCTCTCTTGACCTACTTTTATGCCTTTTCGTCCAATACGTTTTGTACGCGTTTAAGGGACAGCTATGTTCGTGTTTCTTCGTGAAAATGCAAAATGCACTAATGGAGATGCCGGTCCATTGCCTCATTAATGTAATTTAGAAATTAATGATGTTTTGCTCACAGAAGCATGTCAAAATGGTTAAGTAGGATGTTTTAAAGCGAAATAGTGAAAAACAAAAAATCGAAATTGAAAACGGTCATTTTGAAATGTGTCTCTTCGTGAAAACGGTGACGATATTTATGCATCACATATAACACATAAAGGGTTGTGCAGGATTCCATGACTTTTTGGTTGGAATATCAAATTTCTACGACTTCTTGTGTAAAATAGCTAAATTCCATGACTTTCAATAACTTTACATAATAGCTACAAATTCCAGGATTTTTAGGATTTTTTTCAAGACTGCGCGAACCCTGATGAGCACATGTGTACTGTAAAATCTCATACCGGTCTCAATATTTAATATCTGCTATTCAGATAATCTCCATGATATGACATATACAGTTAATGTCCTTGACCTGAACTGTATTTACAATGAATCTTGCAAGAGGACCAGATCAAAGTTGTGTAGATCAGGATGTCAACCAGGAAAGAGAAGGATCAGCACCCGATTTCACGAAGAGCTGCGACGTGTCGCTACTTGAGTTACGACGTGTAACACGTCGCAACTCGCGACAAGTCGTATCATCCATTTCACGAAAGTTGTGATGTGTTGAACGCGTAGTAAGTTCCTTGACAATGGCTTAAAACACGTCGCAAGTTACGACGTGTCAAGTGGTCATCGCAAAATAAGAAGAGTCCCTTTCTTAGCCAGTTTAATGCCGGCCATTAACATTACATACACATATAAGATTATAATACAGAGGCAATGTGTGTAAAGTTGTAAATAGAAAATTCATTGAATAATTATGAATTAGACTGGAATATTGCAGCTGAAATTTCAATGTAGCTATACAGTCCACAGAGAGCTTGTTTTCCTTTAAAATTGCATCGCACGACCGCCATTTTGTTTATGTTTTAACAAATTTCGAGCTGAGATCCGATGACTCTTTGTGAATATCAGATGACTATTTACTGTACGCTGACTAAATACATAAAACAGTCACCGAGTTGTGCTATAAATACACCTACGACGCGTCGCACTTATGACGTGTTTTGAGAAATGGATCACAGGACGCGTCGAAGCTGCGACGCATCGTAGGGATACGACACGTCGCATCGCTGCGATGCATTGTAAGTAACAAAGAGTTCAATGAAATTGGGTGCAGATCTAGGGTTGAAACAGCGCATAAAGTGTTAATGCTATCTCTGGATCAGATCCCCACCCCCTCACAGGCTTGCAGAACCCGATTTTTCTCAGTTGGATCCAGTGTGAAAAGATTTTAATTAATAATGTTAATTCTATTAATCATACCTCCTCGTTGTTAATCTTCTTAATATCAAGATGAGACAGTCTGAAGAGAAGGTAGGGCTTCCATAGGGAGAAAGCAGTGATTGGATTGCCCTCAGTAGCAATGTTGATGCTGTCTAGATGGCGAACTGAAGTCAGTGCATTCAGTTGTTGAAGGCTGCTTAGGTTGCATTCACCAAATAGGACAGTCTGGTAGGTAGAAAAATGGAAGAATACATTACATGGGGACTCAATTGGTTCTTATGGTACAGGTTTTAAAACTCATCACTGACTGCTATCACCTTTCCTTCTTCATAAAGAACCTTGAGTATAAAGATCACAAAATACAAGAGAGCACATACGTCATTATAGATGATGACAATCACTTCTTTCAATCTGAAACAAAGAGACTGCAGACAGAAAGACATTTTTAAGTCTTCCCTATAACTAAGCAGAGAGTATTTACGGTAGTGAACCATGTTTATGGACACCAAACTGCATGTGCAAATACACTAAATGTCCATCCATTCTAGATTTTGTTGATGTAACGTTCATTGTGTTGGAATTATCTTTTCCCTTAAGAAGAATGAAGAAGAACAAACAAACGAAACAAACCAAACCAAACAAACCAACCCAACCAACCCCAAAACAGACCTACCCCCACCTGCACACATCTTTGTAAGGGGCCTGTCACACCAGAAAGTTTCAGGCCAATGCGTGAGTAGTGCGTTAAAAACAGTTGATACGCTGGCAAACGCTGAACTTTTACAGAAAAAGTCAAGTGGAACCATGATTTCAGTGTGTCCATAATGCGTGGATAACAGGTTCATAGCGTATGCAAGCATGTGAGAAGCATGTGAGGAACGCTCTAAGCGTGTGAGGAATGCATCACTGATTTATAGATGAAATATGACAGCGTATCACCAGCGTTTGCCAGTGCATGAGTAACGCATTAGTAACACGCTCAACGACTGATGAATGACTGCCCAGCGCTTGAGTAGCACGTTCCAATGCGCACCAGCGTACTGCAACGACCACGTGATTTTTTGTAAAAGTAGCCGACGTGCTACTACAGTACTTGCGCTCTTCATTGGTGAGACCTCACTGGCTGTAGGGCTTCATCATGGTGGGTTGCAGAGCGAAGGCATCGTCGCCAATGAAGAAGTAAAGCACATCCTGGTTGTAGTTGGCAAGAGGATCTGGTGCAGGAAAACCTAGCCTACCATCTTCAGCCAATTCTTTCAACTCAGACTCATTGTAGATCTGAGCATATGATGCTGTTCCAGCGCCACCAATATCTGCCCAGATTAATTTGTAGTCCGCATCTACAAGCGCAATCAGAACAATGGAGTAGAATCCTTTGTAGTTGTAGTACATGGACCCACTATTTCGAGGACACCGGCATGTAACGTGCTTTCCATCCAGGGCTCCAAGTGTATGGCAGGGCTCGAATTTCATGAAAAAAAAGCACTAGACAGCAGGTCTAGTAACCGAAGAATCTTAGGGCCCTGTCACACTTCTGTGTATCTTAATTCCTTAAGAGTTGCGCATTGACATTTTTTTCATACGCAGTCGTACGCACAATACGCACCTCATATGCATCTCTATCGTTTTGTGTAGGTTTTGTGTACGCAGATATACGCATGGTACGGCCCAGTACGCAGGATAGTTTTGGGCATGCACAAAACTACGCTGCGTACGCTGTCACGCAGGTCATAAGTTATAAATACGCAGCGCATCGGTCCCGCATCGGTCGAGTGCGTTACGAGTATGCTATGTGTTCGTGACGCACCCCGTCAGCATATGAGCCGCCTGTATTGGACGTATACATAGCATACTTGCAGCGTAGATGCAACGCACGCTGGACGGCGAGCGGCAGAAATGCGGCGGGAATACGCTCAGAAGTGCGTCAAGCATGCGGTCGGCATAAGTCGGGTGCGTCCGGAATACGCTCGTCATGCGCACTGCATACTGACCTATTCGCAGCCCGAAAAATAATGCTTTGCACTGCATACGGAACTCATACGCATCTCATACGCAATGGATGCGCTGAATTCGTTACTTGTACGCTATATTTGCGTCGCTCATAAGTCAAAGTAATCAAAAAATTTTGACGTTTTGAGCGTACGGCTGCGTATTGAAAAATTTTGCTAAGGAACTCATAGGGAATTAGGATACGCAAAAGTGTGACAGGGGCTTTACTGGACCTGAACTATTTTTACAAGACCTGTGTCATAAATAAGAAAAAAAACATTTTGCACTACATGTATGTGACAGGAAGACAACAAAATGCTACATGTATTTACGAGTTGCGCGTTTCGTGTGTGCACTTGGCTAGTTCCTTGGAAAATTAGTCTAATTCTCTTGCAGGGGCACAGCAGTCCTTCATTTAAAGAAAATCCAGGAGAGCTATAAATGCTCTCCTCAAATCTTTGCACTACGAAAGCTATACAAAAAGGGCCTCAAAAATGACGAAAACTTGCCTTAAGCGTTAACGAAAATAATGCCGTTGATAATCTTAAAAATAATGGAAAATGCAGGTCATTTATACCATATGCACAATGCTAATTACGACGAGAAACTGGCTAACAATGTCTGAACTTCGCTTGGTACGAATGTGCAATGATGCACTGTGTGTTGTGGACCAACAGTGGGCCGGCATTGAGCTTCGTGTAACGGTATGTGATTTCGGTGAAACTCGCTGCATCATTTCACTTCATATACCAGTAGTATTTCCTCGAAATAAATTCATGAACACGGGAAATACATACACAGACAAGAGAGATCAAGTTCTGTGAGTATAAGCTTGCAAAGATCGTCTTTCTCCATCGATGTTTTCTTGGCATTTTACGATGTCTATTCCGTGCCGTCGACGTCCGGCCTGCATGCAACTGTACTGCAGTGTGCATGCACCGCGCGCACACGACTATTGCATTGACTAATTACCGCATTTCCATCTTGCCAGTGCGCGGCGCAGCGGGAACCAGTCACTGCTGCAATAGCACGTTCAGGCCCACGTGTTTTCATACATCAAGCAGCTCTGTATGTACATGTACATGTACGTACTGTATACGTATACGTGCAACTGGCATGACTGGCGCGTTGGCCGAGGCAGCTTTGTTGCGTTTCGGCACGGCACAGACAGTTTTTTGGCCGGTAATTTTAATCAATCAGGTAATAATATGAACTCAAAGCACTCTATTAATCAGACCTCAACTGCTAGTATATTTGGGGGTCATTTTGTTTGTATAGTGCAAGAAAAAAACACTATACAGCCGGACTAGTGCAGTCACACACAGCACTAGACCGACGCTAAAATCACTAGACACGGTCCACGGTCCAGTGGATATTTCGAGCCCTGTATGGGGTAGGTTACACTTTTCCTAGAACTTGTCAGCAATGGCACGCCATCCCTCAGGAGTGGTTGGACAGATCATCACCTCTGGAAGGCATTTGTCGATGATGGCCAGGCAAACTTCTCTGACGACGATTGAAATGGTGTTGTGGGGAACCCTCCAGCTGAACTTAATCGAGGCATATACTTGGTTTCAGAGGCAAGGTGACGCAAAGTCAAGGCAAGCTTCAGGACAGGCTCCAGCGGCTCCCTGTAGGCAGTATGTTCCTTGGTGATCCTTGGACCCACTCTGGCTAGCACCTCGTCGAACATCTCAGGGGGCATCCGCATGAAGTTCTTGAAGGAGGCCTGGTCCTCGTTCCGGAGTTCCACCAGAAGATGGTCATACTGGCCGAACTGCAGTCGCCTCCCAATCCATAGCCTTACCCAAAACCTTCTCCTCTCACGTCTTCTCCTCCTTCTCCTATTGGCTTGGACCTGGTGAAGTGCCAATTCAAGCAAGTTATGGTAATGTTGGAGAACAGCAAGATCTTCTTGGCGCAGCAGTTCCAGCTCCATCTTCAATGCTGTCTCTAGGAGAAGTGATGAAGAGGTACCAGCAGCACCCTATGTATATACAGGTACCCCAATACACTGGATAATACGCTATCAATACGCTAGCATACGCTGAACGCGTTAATTGGTCGTTAGGCAGTCGTTGAACACGCTAGAGGGTCATCATGATGTCACTTCAGACAAAAAAATTCCCACCAAAAAAAAATGGTGATATGAAAAATTAAATTCTAAGAAATGTTAAAAAACAATGCTACTCACGGACACATTTGGGAATCTGATCCTAATCTTGTGTAGATGCTTGGTTATCTCGTCAAAGTCAATAAATTTGAAGGAGATGGTTGTGATAGATCCTGCAGCCTGTATCCCCCAGCTCTTGTCCAGAGCTTCCATGGAGCCAGGACCATAAAGGTATAGAGTATCTCCGTCTAGTTCTGCAAGATGACAGGCCTCAGAAGATATGCTAATGATACAAGAAATTTAGTAGAATATATTTTCAATCCAATGTTTATTTTTCAGGTATATATATAATTGTTGTTACAAAATGTCCTTCTTTTGTAACCTATATGTGATGCGTTCAGGCTAAATGAGTCGTTTGTCGGGAATTTTCATTTGGAGATTCAGACCAAAATAGAACCACTTCATCACATCACTTCATCACATTTCTTGGTGTTTAGACTTCCATAATTTTGGAACTAAAGATGGTACCAGCATGCGGTTTTCACAGCAGTAATGCTGAGATTGTGCTCTTTTCAAATCTGTAAACAAAATTGGGCCAAGGGTCGACAAACAACTCATTTAGCTTGATTGCATCACATATGGGTTGTTGTGAAGGAACCTCTGTTCTTCTTTTCAAATATTGTTGCTAAGCACAATCTTACATAACTTTGACAAATAGAAAATCAATCAATGCATGTTGTACCTGTTTCCTCATACCTTTTAGGACCGAGGACTGGTACTGATTCTAGGGGCATGGTGGGACACGACTTGTAAAAATTACTTTTATGTAGCGAAAACAGCCTCATTTGGGCCCTTGAATATCTCTGCTGTCTACAATGATGAACAGTGTGCCTTGGGTTGGCTACCAGCCACATCTATTTTTCCATATAGCCCTCGACTTTACTGGGCCAAAATTAGTTAATTTTGGCAATAAAGATATCTGCATGACCTCTTTTAGTACATTAAAAAACACTGTTAAAAAGTTGAAAGAATCTATCATACAAACAAGTGCTGTTAACCCTATTAACCCTATTGTAATGTCCTTAGATCCTTGATTAATTTCCCATTAATGTTGTCATCATTTGGTTGCACTCCCCACCCCCACCACAGTCCTGACAGGGTTAAGTGAATGTCAAGGGAAACATGGTTTGAGGTGTTGGCAAAGCATTAAACAGGCATGCAACTCTTCTATTTCCCCCCCCCCCCCCCAAAGGAGGAAAGGTTTGTACCAAATTGCGAGAGCATAGCACAAAGCCAATGCAGCGTGGAAAGGGTCATCTAAGGGCCTCGGAAAATTTGGAATTCCACATGTTCTGCTTTTTAAACTTTTTTATGGCATATTTCTTATTAAAAATGATTACAAAACAATGTTCAAATTTGTGTTCCTTTTTTAAGTTAAAGGTAGAGTATATCACTTTAGTTTGCCTTTAATTTGGCAAACATAATTCGACCACTATAATTTGACCACTATAATTCGTCGGTTCAGTGCATGACATCGTGTAGCTGCAATCAGCTGAATGAGAACATGTCCTGGATGCTGATTTCTGGCGCAATTCAAAATAGAACTCAGCAACTTTTGAATTAAAATCGAGATCCTAAAACATTGTTTTCTCAGAATATACAGCATTCGTTGAGCTGAAACTTCATCAGGTTAGGTGTTAAGCACCCTTCTTTAGATTTTGAGCAATTATGTTGCTTCAAACGAAAATTGCATGCATGACAAATGATATACTCGACCCTGAACTAAAACCACGAAGCCGCCATGGCTCGCTACCGAGAAGGGAGGCTGAAGGTAGGGGATGGCCATGATGGAAGGGGATCAGGATTCAGGATGGTGAGCCAAGATGTAGGGATTTTTTTTTTTAAATGCCAACATAAAAGTCAACAAATGCCCATTTACATGAATGTACTTGTACCACATCACTTCCGTCACCACACTCTCCCATCCTTCTCCCATCCACTTCGCCACCCACACTCACCCTCCCCCACCCCAACCCTCTCCCACCCACCCCACCCTCTCCTATCCATCCCACCCCCACCCATCCTACCCCTTTCCCCATCCCACCTCTTTCCACATCCCCAATTTCACCCCACTAACTAATAGATCGAACTAAAAAAATCTCATGCCCAATCACCATTACCACACTCCCCACCCCACCCTTCCCCCACCCTTCTCCCATCCCCCTATCCAACCCCACCCCACCCCGAGGATGTAGAAAACCCATGGACCCTGTCACAGCAGGCAACAATTGTTTTGTTATACCACAGTAATAGTTTACAGCTGTCCAATTTTGTAACTGGTAATGTCTAAAACTGTGGATCTCTTCCTGTTACGGTGCAGATGCTGTCCTGTTCCAACTTGTCAAAATTTCTGATCTCGTCTTTGGAACGAGAAAGAAACCTCTTCTTTGGAGGCGACCTGTTGTGATCTGCCGACATTGAGCAGACAAACAGTGACAAACTATGTTAAACAACAGAAATAGTCCTTCACTGTCCCCCACGGCACATCTCACAGGAACATACATCAATTTACGTTGTGCCAGTATAGCTACAACCTCATTCCTGAGGTCATACTAATATAATACTTTTCCAGCCTTCGCTATGGTTTAAAGGTGCCAGAGCGCTCGCGACACACAGAGGCACCCTGAGATATCTCCTCCGGGCTCCAGTGGAACGTCGATGACGCGACGGCTGGTGGAAGGGATAGCTGGGTTTGAGTTTGGAGTGTCATTCTCCTAACCTTTGACAGAATGTCCTCCCACAAGGCAGTGGGGGTTCAAGGGGGAGGCAGGCAGGCAGGCAGGCAGGCAGGGCTGCCGACTGGAAGCACGGAACCAGTGTGTCTCCAGCCTGGACGTTGACCCAAGAGATGCCGCAGTTCATCCGCTCGTATGCTTCGAGCAGGAACAGTCCAGAGACGGCAGGAGGCCGTGGCTGAACACCATTGAACACTACCCGGAGGCAGCGACGGTAAGGGGTAGCCTCATCTGACCCCAAGCTTTCTACAAGGTACCAGCGTTGTCGCCGAATGCAGTTTAAAGTCAAACCCAGGACTAGAATATAATACAACGCAGTGGAAACGACACTTTCAACAGTGAGAAAGATCAAGATAATGTATCCTGTGGGGTACATCACTCATGTACCACGGCATACATCGCTGGTGTTTCTGGGCATGTCACATGATCCACCATCGACCAATACAAATTCACAATCTATTACAGTGGTATAATTGTATGTATAAAGGGACCCGTGGATCCTACTGAATGGGGCCACCCACTAACAATTATTAATAAGTAATAATAATATGAAGTCTGTGGCTCTTGAAATTGAAAAAATAAATAAATAAAATCTCTCTGGTTTATGCACAGAGCCCAAAGCCAAATGAGATTTCTTTCCATTTCTCTCTCCCAAGATTATTATTTTTCATCCCCAACCTATAACTCACTTTGCCAGTAGGTCAGGCGTGGGTGCCTTGCTGCATGTCCTTGTCTCTGAATGCATAGAGGCACGGGATAACTCCCCACTCTTATCATCAGGCAGATCCATGGATTGGCTCTGGTACGTTTCCATATCTCCAGACCTATTAAAAATATATGCAGGAATATATGTACTACATGGTAGATTCAAGGACAGTTGGAACTGCCTCTTGCACTTGGTGATTATAATTTTCAATGTGTATTACATGTGTTAACGCTGATTGTTAGAGATGTTAAATTACATCACAAAAGAAAAGAAGTATGTGTTTCTGTCTGAAGACAGATCACAGGGCTTTACCGCTGATTTTTAATGAACTTATGGTTACACTCTGAAAACAAAGTAACACACGCATGTATATGAAAAAAAAAGCAAAGGAGTACTAAAAGAATGTTGTTGTTTGTTCTCATATATAAAAGCCATTAAAAATCTTATGATGATGTCATTATGACGTCTCTTCAATTTTCACATATAACACTTCCCTTACTATACAATACTAAGTTTCAACCGAATTACATATCTTCCGACAGGTTGTTTGGACAATGTAGTTATTTTGATATTATGATTACTGTAACAGTGTCAATTTTTTTTTTTAATGTTTTTTTTTTACGGTTTTTGTATGTTTTAAAGGTTTCGCTTTGAGGCCTGTGACTAATTTATTATTTTTAAATTGAACAAAGAAATTGAATTGTGCAGGTTTTGAACCTGCGACCTCTGGACCGCCATTCTGATGCTCTACCAACTGAGCTATCAAGTTCTATGTTGAAGGTTCCCAATATTGTGAATGTCTGACTAGCGCCCCATGAACAAGAGCAGACCAAAATGTTTTATTTATTCAAAATAAATTATAACACCATAAGCATTTACTGTTCACAATCTCTTATCTTCCTGCATTTTACAAAAAAGGGTTTGTTTTCAGTTTAAACGTGCTCATGCACATGCACAGGAAGTAATTACATGCACAACTAGTTTCACTTCTCTGAACTTGCATGTAAAATAAATGAACCGCAATGAATAGAAAAACAAGAATCATTGCGAACATCTAATTTTCATAAAATTAAACACTGTTTTTCCGAAGTGGCTTTTACTTGAACTCTGAAATTTAAAACTGACTGAAAATGTAAATTTTATGAATGAGACCAAGCCATTGGCCTACAAGTTGTAATTTCAGAAGTTGATGGATATAAACATCGACACAAAAATGGCAATTTATGCAAAACAAGAAAGTTCACTTTAAATACAAGCCCAAATGAATGCCACCATTAGATTTTGATTATTCTAAATAGGTAAATGTAACATTCCAACAGAAAAGAAATGACAAACTAAATCCACAAAATGTATGGTTCAAGCATAGTACAAAAATGACACACCAGGCTTTTGCTTGAATCAATCTAACTCATAGCTGCAGTCCATATATCATCTAAATTGTCACTTATAAGTGAAACTATGAAGTGTGACATCTGAACATCTTAAAAGGCGTTATACAGCCTGGAATGCGCCCAATTGGGCTACAAAACATGTTTTAAACGAAATAACATTAATAAGAAAGAACATTTAAAAGTAGGATATAAACGTTGACACAACCATCCTTTTAAAACTTGGCTTTTTTTGTGTTATTCTTGCAAGAACCATGCAAGAACGAATTTCGGGGGTCAAAATTTTGTAACTTTGTTATTAAAAATGGATTAATTTCTGGTAATAATAAAAGTGTTAATAATAATCCCTTTTCCAGAACATCGCTATACCGAACACCGCTATACAGAACATTCGGCTATACCACTCATCGTCCTTGGCTCCTGATATTTTAGTACAAAATGAACCAATCATTGTTGTTGAAATGTGTCAACAGAAGAGTGACAAGTGGCTATTATTTTTCCAAGGAAAAGAAGAAGGGAAAAGCCACCCATTGCTGTAGGTAGTAAGCTAAAAAAAACCTGCCTGATTAGGTAATTCAATAGTTGGCACGCATTCAAAGTCATCTTTCAGAAACTACCAGGGCGTGCAGGGTGAAGTTCTGAAGGGCGCTCTTTATTGAAAAGTGAGTACCGGAGCATCGGCAGCTTAAAATCGCTATATCGAACGATCGCTATTACGAACAATTTCTGCGAATCCCGTGATGTTCATTAAAACGGCGTTCCACTGTACAAAGAAATGTAGAATTGGGATTAACAGCCTTCTCAGAGCACCATTTGATGTAGTGCTGTAGTTGGCTAATATAAGTTCATCTAGATGATGCCTGTCCGCTTTTTGGCTGCCAGGGTTAAAGCTCCTCTGAAATGTCTGGTGTTTGAAATGACAATTTGACAGTATCCAATCGGAGAGATGAAGGCTGATTGGATCCGGGTGAGGTAACTGAGACCTGGGTTTGGAGATTAAGTCTGGTTGTTCCAGTAAGGTGATGGGGTAGCAGGTGCGGATCCAGAGGGGGAGGGGTATTTTGGGGACCCCCCCCCCCCCTGTCAGCGTTGTCCCAGCAACACGAACACTTAGATTAAGTATACATCTGTATATGTGTGTTTGTGTCAGTAGTCCGTGTGTATTGTTCGTAATCGTTGTACCATAAGTAGACTGTAAGTATATAACTAATAAATAATGCATGTGTCTTATAAATATTCATGTTGCCATGGTCCTATCCTTTGTGTCTTGTTGGCGTTTCTTTAAAATAAACCCTGCCTGTCATGTGACCCGCAGCCCGCGCGTTTTATAAAAAGATAGAGATACGCCAAAAACAGAAAGACGCCGATCACGATCAATCTGTAGAAAAATAGCATTTTGCTGACTGCAAACTTGCAATATCGCCTAGACCAGGTCTTGAAACCGGCGATGAACTCCAAGAGTCATACTGGACTTTGATCTGCCATCAGACCATGGCAAACTGGCTTAGCTAGAAGCCGTTATCCCCAAAGACCGTCGCTTGAGGCAGACAGGCCCTGCGACAGGCTGACAGCAGCTACCCAGCGTCACCGCCGTCAAGCTGGTCGACCGTGACGCCTGGTTTCTACATCACCCGGCTGCCTACAACAGAGGCTCCGTCGAGGTGGCTGCGCACCGTCAAGCCAGTGGTCCAAGTGCGAGAGAGTACTCCACCCATGCACATGCCAACGCAACTTGAGCCGTAAACTATACGGTGGGCCCTAAATATTGAATAATTATTGCCGGCTTAGAGTAGGTTTAATATAATAGTATTAAAGTTCATTTAGTTAGGTGATTTAACTATTTGTTCGTGTTTGCTTCATTAGATTCTTCTTAGCGTAGGTTAAACTTCTGTTGAGTTAACTTGGTTAATTTAAATAGATTTGGTTGATTATAAGTTCTATACTTCAAGCTTTGACTTTTCTGCATTTAATTCATTGATCCATTTGCGTTACCTAAGGTTAGTTTTATACTCATCTCTGGTATTGATTTACACTATTTATTGGGTTACCATCGCCTCATTCTATAAATAATTTTCGTAAGGATTTGTATACATAATATTTGTAAATATTATTCGTAGCCTATAAATATACAGTGTGTGCATATTAAATAATTTGTAAATATACAGAACGTGTCAGAGGATTATTATTGGTGTTTGCACGAAGTTGTGGGTGGGAAAACCAGTCCCGAAAATTCCACTGCACTAATTTCTGGGGGCAGTTGTGACACCCCCCCCCCCCCATCGAGCTCTGACTCGGGGGGGGGGGGGGGGGGTTTCCCATAGAAATACATAACAAATAATTTGACACCCCCTTCCCCTGCTCTGACACCCACCAAAATATTGTACTGGTAATAATGTTCACCTAGCTGTGCACAAAATTCGGACAGAGCCAGCTGGATGTATTACACTATTCTGTACTACAGTGTGAATGATCATCAGATTTGAACAGCGCCTCCATTAAAAGTATGGGATGAGCCCCCCCCCCCCCCCTATTGATTTCACGGAGACAAAGTGTCCAGAAAAAAAACAACCTGTCTACGTGTCAGCATTGATTTGCTGATGTGACACCCCCCCCCCCCCCCCGCATTAATTCCGCATTAATTCCTGGATCCGCCCCTGGGTAGTGAATGAGTAGATCCATAAGTTATGGAAATGAAGCCTGTCTTTGCCAAAAGGGGCTATGAGGATGACCTTGCACTTATGTTGGATTTTTGTCAGAACTCGAGGCAGTAGCGATATTGGAGGGAAAGCATATCCCATGATTCCCAGCCTATTGGAGCTCAAGGCATATCTGTCTCTCAGCCTATAGTAGGTTGGCATGAAGAGAGATGTAACCGCTGTTCATCAGTTGTGGTGTGCTGTTATAGCACCATCCAGCATAGCCTTGGTCAAGGCGTTCGTCATTATTCGTCCGTACGTGGTAAACGAACGGCAGCATATCCTCGCTATGCAGTGCATTAAAAATACAGCGCCAACAGCGACCTCATGCAGCCACTATTTCATGCAAATCATTTGGATCCAGACGAACTTGCGCATGGTGCATTTTCAATGTCACCTGAGACCAAGTCAGCAGAGTTGAACTGCTGGTACGTTGTACTGCACAGTTCACATTTTACAGCAGCGGTCTTTAATTTGGTTACATTGAGCTTCTTTGGTGGTTTCGTGCCTTGAGGTCTCCTGAGTGGTTTGATGTTGAAGTTGAACTTCGCACGGATGAATCGATGGTCAGTTGAGCAGTCAGCTCCTCTCATAGCCTTGGTGATTTTCACAGCGATGTCCCTCAATCAGGTGCCAAAGTTTTGAACGGGGATGCATCCATGACGTTTTGTTTTTATTTGGAAGTAGAAACAAAGTGTTGCTAATGGTGAGGTTGTGTTCTGCACATTTTGTGAGAAGAAGGAGACCATTTGAATTGCATGCTCCAATACCATGGTTCCCTATTATGCCCTGCCATGTATGATGGTCAGAGCCAACACGAGCACTGAAGTTACCAGGGAGATTACTTGTTCCAGATCATCATAAAACTTGTCTTTGACATCATCCAGGTTTGTCATGGTAGGTGCATACACACTGACTATGGTGGCATGTTGTTTCGCTGTGAGTGACTGACGCAAAGTCATTAAGCGGTCGTTGATACCCAAGATGTTCAAGATTACCTACGATGTGATTTTTCACGGCAAAACCAACACCAGCTTCATGATGCTCATCGCTGGGACGACCACTCCAGAAAAAGATGTAACCAGCGCCAAGTTCGCCAGCTCTCTGCCAACGAGTGCAGTTCTTCATATAGGTCTATAGGGGCATCACGGAGTGTTCGCACATTTCATGCCGCAAAGTTAAGCAGACGTTGTTTTGCATTCCTGCAGTTGGTATGCTTGCTGTGTGAGTAAGTTGTCGATGACATTTCGTTTTGATGATCATTCATGGTAGAAAGATCGTCCTGGAGGATGTGTCTGTGTAGGGGGGGGGGGGGACGGTGGAGATGTTATGGCACCTACGCGTGACTTTGATTTAAGTGAAGAAGATTTGCGCTGAGTCAACCTCACTTATCCGCTTTGCCCATCTGGGGCCAGAGGCAAGACAGAGTCAAGACATCTGGAGATGGGTTAAGCTGTAGTGGATGGCCTGCAGTACCTTGCCCTGTGCGCCTGTACCGATGACCTGAGCTCTCCACATAACTTTGCTGCCATGCCATCCAAGCCGGATGATGTAGCATATCTGCTGGGTCCGCCTTGTCTGCCACAGTAGACTTCATGCACGTAGGTGTACTGAGAGAGAGATGGGCATCTCTATCTCTCAGGAAAGTTCGTATCCAAGGTGAAATGTGCAGAATGTACTCAGGATTTTCTTGTGCTCTTTTGTTTCATGTAGATTTTGTAGAGTACTTAAAGAACTTGGAGAAGTACACGCATAGAGCTAATGAGAATAACAAAGAAAGCATAATACTCCTGTGAAACATCTGTCAGTCTTTATTTATTTTGCGATCTCAGAGACAATTGCAAGAGCAGAATGTTGCAAGTGGATTGTTAAGGTGGGATGCAAACAGATCTATGTGGAGAGGGAGGAAGCTAGATTGTTGAACACCGGCTGCACTGTTGGGCGGTGGAGTGTCCAGTCTGGACAATATTTGCCCTCATGACAGGGCATCGGCAATGGGGGGGGGGGGGGGGGGGGGGTTGGGGACATTTCCCCCCAAGTTGTTTCCTTGGCCCCCCACCCTCAGTTTTCCCTCGACACTTTATCTACAAATAGATTAATTAAGTTTATTTTCTTCATAACAAGTTGAAGATAGAAACGGAATAATCAGTTCTATGGACACATTTTGGGCCAATGAAAGCATTATAAATGTTGGTACTTTGGTAGACAAAACACGCCATACATGCATTTTACACAGTCATAGATAGTGTGCAGCCAACGCTATTGTACATTTGTTGTACAGTTTGTTATACACAATTCTGCAGTTTGATACTTTCTCATTCATAAAACGACTACACTTCTTGTGTGGACCATTGACAATGGGAGTGCACGCGCGCTTATACAGAAAAGTTATTTGTGGGTGGCCACACCCCATCCCCACCCCCTAGCAATGCCACATGTGGCAGGGGAGGTTGTGAAATTGCACTTTGTGTAATTTATAAAATGTTCCCTTGCAAATTGGTCTACAGTTTACACTTCTTTTTACGATATTATGACGATATTATGCAAATAGCAGATCTGAATTTGTTGACATGAGGGACGGTGTGGATCGGGCCTAGCAGACTATCTGCTAATCATCCACAGCTCTAGGGATACACAGTGTGTTTTTTGTTTGTAAAATGACCCATAATCAAGAAGATGTTCTTTTTATGAATAACAAATTCAAAACAAAAGAAATACAAATCACAACAAACTTTTTAAGGTGTCCTTGAACAAATACCGGCACCCGGAGCTGGAGGCACACAAAGTCATTCTCTGGAAACCAACCCGCGGACACAGGAGACGAGGAAGATTCAAAATGACTTACACTGGGGTGCTGCAAAAGGACACCGGTGTGAAATCGACAGACGAACTGGCCACCCTCATGCGGGACCAAATTATTTGGAAAAGCCATACTTGAGCCCGCCTGTGGGCAACAGGGTGGCAAAAATGTTTTGAGTGCTACTGCACAAAGAGTATACAATTGCCCAAGGTTTTTTCACCAGGTATTAAAATATCAATATTGGACCTAATTATAGCAAAAAGGAAATAATTCTGAGTGCCCCAAGCAAGTGGCTTTTTGGAGGGGTAAATATGAGATAAAAATATATTTTTGCAAGTTGTAAAACATGCTTTATTGCAGGGCCTAAAATAATATAAAGATTACAAGTGCTTACATTTTGGCTGGATGGCCTTTGAAAATAACACAAAAAATTCAGTTTTACAATCCCAAAATTGACCCCAAATTGCCAAAACACATAATGGCCTGTTACCAATAAGCCATTTTGAGGTATGGCAGACACAATAGGAGGGTGCTGTTTGATTTGGGTGAAGTCTTTTGTATTTACCCAAACCAAATGGCGCCCTCCTATTGTACCGGCCATATCTCAAGTAGGCTAATGGCACTGTACCTAATATGAATTGAGAAGTCTGTTTTGGTTACTTACTCTCCAAGTCCTTTCATCCAACAAAGTATTTTTGTACCATGGACACTTACACAAAGTACAGGACTCTCAAAAACATATGTTGTTTCTCCATTAAGGGCACGTAAGAGCCTTAATACATTGTAGATGAAACGAACCTACAACTTTAATGAGAAAAACCTTGCTCAAACAGATGGAAGGTTGTTACCAAATACCTGTTGAAATTATTTAGCCTAAAGTGACATAATTCGGAAGGAAACAATCATTGAAAGTTATTTAAAATGTGCACCTGCGGGTGCATTTGTTTATGTGCGTTAATACCACACAAAAACGTGTGCATTTATGTTTTCTCTGTTTCACAAAATGTATAGTAGCAGCTAAGCTAAACCTACACGTTAGTTGTTATGCACATCCTATATTTATGACATATAGTACCAAATTTCCCTGAACTTCCAAATTACAAACTTCGGAAAGTAAATTATGCTCTTTCACTATTCAAATTCAAATCTTCTTGTCCTTAAAAGCAAAGCAGCACGCAACATGGTCATAGTAACTTTAACATTCAGTGGCCATGTTCAGACAGTGTTTTAGCTAAAACAGTAAAAGTTAAAATGGTAGACTACCGCAGGAGGCTGATTGCAAAAATAAAATTACTGAGCATCCAGACATCGTTTTAAGTACAGCAAGTTCAACTCAAGGTGGTTTATCTCAGTTTCTAAGGTAACTTAGAACATCCGCCTCAGCCAAAAACCGCGCACTTAAAAGAGCCTTCACTTCTTCCACTTCTACCAGTTCGCTACACATGGTCTGAGCCTCTCACCGTCGTGACGTGTTGCTGTATTTTACATCGTTTAAAAAAAATTACACAAACAGATATTTGGCTAAAACGGGAAGAGTTTTAGCTAAAACCGTTCATACATCATTTTAGGAAATGAATTTTTTTCTGGTTAAGAGATAAACCCACCCTCTTATAGGGTTTAAGTTGCCGTTTTAGCGACGAGTTGAACTCAATTCGGTCAAAATATAAAAGCATTCAGACATCGTTTTAGCAAGAAAGTTACACCGAATCGAGTTTAAACCAGTGTTTTGAGTGAATTTAAAACGATATCTGAACGACCCCACTGAGTGACAATCTGCTCAAATTACCCATTGTTTATTTTTACCCAAAGTCTGCAGGTCAAAGTCAGTGACAGTCACTGACTTTGACCTGCAGACTTTGGGTAAAAATAAACACTTTAAAAATATGTTCATGGTTAGTTTTGTTAGAAACCTACCAAGGCCTGCTGTACATGTTATCTGGTGATGATAACCTCTCCTCCCTGGCCATGGAATGGAAGCCTGGCTGGAGGTGAATCGTTTTAGCCATGGCAGTACTTTTCGATGCTTCCCATTGCCGGGCTGCATTGTTGATTGCAATCCTACGCTTCTCCTGTGCACATAATGACAATCGGATTATGCCTGTACAAACACAATCAGCCCCTCATAACCAGGTCTAGTAATAAGCAGTTCGTAGATTAGGTCCAGTAGTAAGTCAATTGCATGCAGTTCACTTTCTATTACAAACCAAAAAAACCAAAATCTTCAACCTAGAGCCTGAAAATTCACCCCTGGAGGCGCGCTTCCGGAACAGTTGAATAGGAAAATGAACATGCACAATTTTCAAAATATGAAATTATTTTGGGATCATTAATTTTTTTAAGAAAACCACCCCCGACAAAGGCCTCTGTAAAATTGCTACTAGTATATCACTTATACAAACTGATAAATTGCCTAACATGATGCAAAAGATCGTGCCTAAATTGGTGTACGTAGATGAGAATCTCTGAATTTGTGGTGGTCATTAGGTGAACAGGGAAAGCTAAAGTGAAATAAAAGACCGAAATAGTTTTAGGGTTTTCAAGTTGTATATGAAAAGATTTACAGGACTCAATCACATAATTTACGAAAACAATGGTAGAATTGACCAGTGATAGGACTGCACCCACGATCTCCTCAAGCCAGCCCCATTAGATCTAGAATCCATCAGCTATAGGTAGGTAGCTCTTTTCAATGTTATACATTCTCGTTCTCATGCAACTAAGTAGGTCCTACATGATATGAAAACAAACATGCACACACTAGGAGACCAAGGAACAACAATGCCTGATGTGAAAGGTTATAAATGAAATGCATTTTTACCCATCTCCGAGTAATTTTTCCTCAATTTTACTTGAACTATACCTAGATAAAATTCCTTATTGGGGTGGTAACGGTAAGAAATCATTCTGCCAAAAATTACAACAGGTGAAAGGGCAACCCAATAAAAGATACCCATAGGCGGACCACACGAGGGTTCCCGAAGCTGAGCCGCATGACCTTTTACTTTCAGGCTCTATACCTAGCATGGATTGCAAAGTGCTTCTCAATTAATTACTTATGTGTGTATTGCAACTAGGAGTTTTGCACTCTTAATTGTAAACATAATTCTTCCCCCTTCTATTTCATTTCAAACAAAATAAAATAAACCTAGAAATGTGTTTGTCACGTGGACAAACACAGCTGTGTCGGCTGTTTGAGATGACTCTGTGACATGTGATGAAGTCATCATGACGTCACTTTGAATTTCATCTATAACACAGGGTCGCAGTTTAGGTTCATACATGTACCAAGCTACAACCAAACCAGACCTAAAGTTCTCTAGATATAGGCCTTAGAAAAATACCCCTTTAATGTGACATTACATGAAGACGAAGAATAGTTTGTAACTTTTGAGGATCTGCCAGGAATAGACTTTTAAGGATCTAGCATTGCTACTACTGAAGGCCTTTTCATAAAAAAAAAACACAGTCATGATTCCACTTCTGAGTGTGGAATAATGTTTTATTCAACAGACCAAAGGGATAATGATGTTAGTCTTTGTTTACATGTGCATTTTTTTTATGCGGGCATGGTGGCTCTCATCCCAACTGGGCTCTCCTAAGAATGTGGACATGTAAACAAAGCAGGACGTCATCCTGGTGCAGATTCAAACAAGCCTACTTTGTACCTTGAGGACCACCAGCTTGTTTGTCTCTCTCTTCTTCTCTTCCTCCCGTTTGGCTACTGTACTTGAAAGCCGCCGCTCTTCCTCCTGAGGAATACAAAAAGCCAACACTGGCTTAATTAAATTAAAAATAACATTATACACCCAGGGGAACAACGTAGATGATTCAAAGTTGTTAAGTGTACACAAGGCTGTGTACTGATGGAGGAAAAACAGTATGAAGTTTTCCGTAGTCCATTTTTTTTAAAACTCCATATTTCTCTTTAATTGTTCAAACTCTGTTTATGAAAAAAATCAACTTTATGACGCCATCAAAAATATCACAAAAGCAAGGCCAGCACAAGATCCCGATCATGTATGGGTTCCAAAAGGGCTGCATCAAGAAAACTCAATCTTGAGAGAGTTCTCATTTTTGAAATTTGTTTGTAAGCAATTGACTTCTTGCAATTCGGGTGATTTTTCACCGTCTTTTTTAAGCGATGTCAATGTGAATAGTAGACATGCGAACTCCTGGTTGACCTTTCACCAGCTGTTTTGCTCATACTGACATATTTAAATATTCTATTCCCTGTCAGTTTGTTAGGAAATGGAGTACTTATCCCGATAACTTGGTTGATATGTTAGCCTGTGCCCCCCTGTCTGCTTTTTTGCGGGAACTAAAACAGTATTTTGATCAGTAATCTGTATTCTCTTCCTTGATTTTTTTTTACTTAGACTTAACTTGATATATCCATTTTAGACTCTGCTGTTGTTTTTTTAGCAAATTTGTTTTGCTATTCCTGGTTAATCGAGTTTGTTTTGCTCTGCCGGATAAATTCCTCCACCATACTCCTTTCCCAGCCCTCTCCTCCACACTTGGTTTTGTTGCTTCTCTTCCCATTTCCTGTCTTACCCTTCCCCTTCCCATTGGCCCTGTTTAACCCTCCCTCTCCTGGTTTTGTTTCTTTGTTTGTTTGTTTGTTGGGGTGTCGGGGTGTTTGTTTGTTTGTTTATCCCCCCCCCCTCTTCTCCTTCCCTGTCTCCCTCCCTCCCTCTGTTGTACTGCCCCGTTCTCCTATCCACTTCCTTTACTTAGCCTCATCTGCCCTGCCCATTTGTTTAATCCCATATTATACTCCCTTGGACATTTCCTCCCTTGTGCAATTTTGGTAGTTTTAATTGTTTTGTGCTTGGTCTATGTTATGTGTCTGTCATTGTGCAGGGTTGGAGAGACATGCCCCATTGGCGACAGTGTTTTGTTTCACTTTTGTTCTTCTCCTTGGCAGCCCTGCACTGTCCATGTTCTGTCTTTCGTGTGTAGTGTTTACTTGGTTTCTTATTGTTTGTATATCCTTTTGTTTTAATATCAAATTTTATGTATTTATTGTAATTGTGTGTATATATGTCCATCTGCCGAATAAAATATTATCATTATTATTATAATGGCCAAATCTGAAGTCAAACCAGCTGAGGTTCAGGCTGATATAGCAAGGAAAGTTCATCCAAGGTCAACCTGATTGAGGATAAGTTGTTGAGGTGAATTTGAATGTGGCTCAAGCTGTGGAGACTAGCGGACAGAAACTAATGAGTGAGAAGATGGTGAGAGCATTGAAGACACCAGAAACAAGCCAGTTTGATATGAAAAAATTATCCAGGCTCAGAAAGAAACGTATTAAGAGAAGTTTTGATGGCTATTTGGTCAGGATCATGAAGTCCAGTTCAAGGTTAAAAATGGGCTGCTTTATAGAGAATTCACCACACCATGAACATAACAGGGTCACACAGGGTTACATAGCGTAATAATTAACCCTTGCAAAAATTTTAAACATAGCTTGGGCATCGGTCCATTTTGGTAAGGCTTTTGCTGTGCCCACTGCAGGCTATGTTTTATAGCATTTGACATAGAATAACTAATTTGAGATGATAAACAAAAACTTTGGAATGATAAATTATTCATGAACATTTGATATAATGTACTATACACTTCCTGAATATATTAGGTGGGTCATGCTTACAAGTATGTTTCATCCTTGCACAAGCCATGTGCAACAAGATATCAAGAGTCTCATCTGTAGGGATTTGATTATTGGGGAAAAGAAAAACCTGAAAATCTAATCTATCTCACAATGGTAGTCCTAGCCTTGAGAGAGTGAAGCCAAAATGTCCAGATGCACTGTAGTACATTCTAAGCCTTCCTGGAACAGCTTTTGAACATTTTTTTTTCAATTTCAGTCCCTTTAACTTAAGGTTAACTTTGTCTGAAGATTTTTGTCATCAATGCATGAATAGGATGTAATGACTTGTTGAGAAATTAAACATCACTACGCCTAGTTCTGATTCTAATCATGTTTCACCTAAAAAACTATTTCTACTCATATGTTGTTCCGGGAAAATGCTTTTTAAACAAGAATAAACAAAATAAATCATAGTTCTGCTTCCGGTTACCCAAACCATGCCCAACTTTATTGCGTGTCCCTAACATTACTTTATCAGAATATTTTGTTCTTTTTTTCAAAATTACCGGTTGTTTGGAACAATTTAAGGGGTCTTATGGAAGGTCATAAATGTGTAGACCCTAACATTTTTTATCGGCTCAGAGAAAAAAAAAAGTCACAAAAAGGCTTCTCAACAACTTTTTTTAATATAAAAAATGCTTGTAATATTTCTGTTTTTGTTTGTTTGCCTACTGACATATCGCTACTTTTTGGAAGGAAACCTTCTTAGATTTCCCCCAATGTGATCGGAAAAATATAAACTTCGCAGTGGTGAAAAGCCCATGCCTTACAGTGGCCAAAGTTGAGGACCAGAACCAGTCAATGGCCAACATAGCGAGATAAACATGTCGAATTTGACATCGTAAAAATGCCATACAAACATAGATGGAGAAAGAAAAATTCTATAAGTTTAGTCACAGAACTATTTTGAGGTTGTACTGCTTGTACTTATTTTTGCGAATTTTCTACCACAACACGTGATTTGGTGCCTGCTACACTGTGTGCAGTCACACATGCTGTATGTGCTGCGCGATGAAGGCCTACGGCAGGCCCCCCCCCCCATTTTCTCAACAGATTTACATGATCTAGTTGGTTGACTTTTGGGGCAAAAAAACCCCAAGACTTCCAGTATAAACTGGAAAAAATCACATTTCTGAATCTGAATTTCTGAAAAAGACATGTTTTCCATGTGGAATGAAAATCACAGCTGTTGAAATATCTCCACAACAAGGTACAACCATGCAAAGCAAAATCCAAGAAAGACTTGGCACAGAGACATAACGAGGCTCAATCAGCAGACTGGAATAAATGTTGATTTATTTGGTTGAGTACCGGGACAAATTAGAATAAATCTACTTTAGCACTGATGTAAATGAGATATGGTAGAGTGGTTAAGGGCGGGTAATTCGAATATGGAGTGGCACATGCATGTGTATGTGTTTGGATTGAAGCTAGATCACTTCACGCTTGCGAGCAGCAATGACAACACACAATTTTTAACACCAGTAGTTGTCAAGTTATTATTGTATAGTTAAAGTTGTTCAACGTCTTAAACAGTTCATTCTAAGAGACGGACATTGCTACCCTAACCTGAAGCAGTTGTCTTGCATAGATCAGGTGTACATTTCCACTTTTCCAAATTTGGTTGTGTGTTTTTTTTTGTATCTGGCAGTCAACACAGCAATGGGATTCAATGTAACATCAAATGTGGTACAAATATTCATAAAGAGCCATAACATCTGTCATAGACAAGTCAAAGTGCGCCTAACAGGCTGCCACACATGCATCAATCCTCTCAGCTTTCTTCAACATTTCTTTGTGATCCTCACTTCAAAGTGTTCTGCACCTTTAAACACTGATCGAATTTGCATCATGGAATCCACTAGTTACTTTGGATGATCCAACATTGCCCTACTTTGGAGATTTTTGTGATTGTCTTCTTGCTTGGTTGTTGCTGTTTCTTGGCCTGTATATTTCCATCAGCCATGTCTTCATTGTTATCTGATGTTCATCCAAGCCTGACCTTGTAACAATAGGTTGAATGCACAGTGATCACAGCTCACAATAGTTGAACAAATGGAGCCCTGCAAGCCGTATTTCCTGCTTGGTCTGTGTGTGCTATTCAGCATATGTCTACGGTGGCCCTGGAACGACATTTTAATATTGACCTTTTTAATATGAACCTTGTAACTTCTTAATATTGACGTTGTACTTTCACAATATGCACGTAGCTTAATATCGCATTGTGGAAGTTGTTCCTTCTTAATGTGAATGTTCCAACTTGTTAATGTTCACGTTCGATCTTGTAAATGTACATCATTGATCACGCTTGATGTCAACGTTGCACTTTGCTTCTTCGCAATATGAACCATGTACCTTCGCATCGTGAACGTTTGACCTTGCATCATGCATTATAAAAAGTACGAAGTCCTTGTCAAGCCCTTTAGTTAAACAACCAGTTATGATGGAGTTTCAATCTGACAGCTGTTTAATGTCCCTTTACCTGGGTCTACCGTGTAGTGATTTTTATCATGAATCAAGGCTCTCTGATTTATTTCACATATCTTTTATAATTCATGTTCAGGCTAATGAGTGCTGTTTCACTAGAAAAGATGTGTTCAATTCATGAGACTAATTAATTTCTTGACGGTATACTCTCCGTCAATTACAATAATTCAAAACAGTGTTCTGTGATCACGCTAAGAAGGCTTTTATCATAATACTTTACATCCTTCAAGCCCCATTCAGATTTTTTTTGTGTTTTTAATCATAGTTACGAGAGATTTCCGTCGAGATCCGCGTATTTAATTAGTATAAGAGTATGATCTAAGGATGTAATTGAAAGGAACATCATTTATATGCGGTGGTACCGTTACGAAATAATATCCACGTCTTATAAAGCATGACAACAATAGTAAGGGCATACATTGATATTTATTACTTCGGGGAAATATCGAGTATTTCACCAATGGTCCCATTCCCGTCAATCATTGTAAAAGCGATAGCGCGCGGGCACAGGTGGCTTCGGTCAATTCTTGTCTGGCCTCCCCATACTATTATTTCAAGTTCCGTTAAAATGTTTACCTGATGTATATTATTCAATTTAATTACCTT